TTTAGGACATATATTTTTACGCCATTAAACTCAGGGGGTAAATATTTTGGATAAAAACCCAAATGTGGGAAAAAGACCAACATGCCAACATTGCCAACATCAAGGAAGCAAGATTGCCAAGTTTTGTCATATCATGTCATTTTGACATTTGTAATTGACAATTTGACACATGTAAACAATAAAATATTTTTATGCAGGGAACAGCTAGTCTAAACATACAGAAAATGCAGGGCACAACGACTCTTGAATACTAGACATTACATTTACTTACAAATTTCCTCGTAAATGCGAATTTCCTGACGATGTTTTCTTACATAACCAAACCCTCGGAGAAGTTCGCGAAAAGCCAACACAGTTATACGTGCCTCAAATCGAATCTGTGGTTTGGAATATGTTATTTTATAAACAGAAACTGTTTAACATTTGCTATATATACCCTTTTATATCAATTTATGGATTGGAAGACAATATGTTAACAAATCATAAGACTATGTAAAAAATTGTATCACCAGAAAGAGATACTTCACAATCTACCGAGATTAGTACATGCCAGCTTCTGGCGTATGTACACGCAAACATGCCAGTACCATAAATGTAGCTGGCACGATTTAATTCGCATTTACGAGGAAATTTGTAAGTAAATTTTAATGTCGTCGAGTAGTCGAGAGCCGTTGTGGCCTGTATTTTCTCTATGTTTAGATAAGTGAGGGTTTCTACTGTCATAATACTTGTATTCTAGCTATTTTAAATATTTAACATTTTTCCAAAAATTGTTATGCGGTATGGTATCCCAGCTTTTCAGCATAAGTAAGACGTACGTCTAGTCTCAAGAGATCTCGTGAATATACACATATTGAATGCCAGCTACCACTCCGTTTTATAGGCATGTATATTCCCGTCCTTATTCGCAGGCGTTAACCATCATTCAAATATTAAAAACATCAGTCTGGTCCTACAACACAGCGTCCGATCAAACACTGATTGAGTGTGGACATTGTGTTGTGTCCACATCAGAGTAAATTACATACTTGACAAAACAACGCTTCCGAATGCTCGAGTTGTCCCCGCTAATGGCACTAGAAATTTCTATCGCCGAATTCGACGAGATCTTCGCCATTGTTCGGCTGCGAATCGAGAGGGATTGAATGTATTGTTGGTTGTGAATTACGTACTTTGCATAATATTGAGAGAGTTGGGAATACTTTAGAAACCAAATACGTTAAAAATACTAGTAAAGAAGTCTAAAGATATCAAAACAAGTACGTGCTTCTGGAAACTTCTGCAATAATATTAAAAACAAACTTGCGACCTTCAAATGTCAGATTTGATATAAATATGTACGTAATAATAACAGTATCAAATTGTAAATTACATAACCAAGACTCACCACAGTTGTACGTTCATACCAATATTGAAAAACATGATAAATTAAAATCTATTTATTTAAAAATAAATCCATTCGACCACAAAGCAATTGCGAGCAAGCCCTGAGGTTAGGGTTACCACATCTGCAGGATTGAACCACATATAGGTTTGCATCGTGCATAAACTGGCATTTTATCAACAACATCAAGAGTGAGTGTGACATAAGTTACTGGATGGAGTCATCAATGAGTTAAGGGTTGACAGATGATAGTCGTTTCGTCACACGTCATGTTTTGTTGGCAGCCCTACCTATATTTGTCCGTCGGAATTGAATTAAGATATGAACACACGATAACTGAGTATACACTAACTAAGGTTTACAATGTGTAAGTGGATTAGTGGACATTGGGCACAGTATGCCGTCTAATGTATTCTACTACACGTTGCTAAAACTGAGCTGTTTGTTCAACAAAGATGGCTACCAGTTTACTTGATTCAAGCAATGTTACAATCTTAGTTTTTATGTTTTCATGGAATTAGCTTAGATGCTATTAGTTGATTAAAATAAAATCTAGTTTAAACACTTACACTCTGTACCTAGAGGGACAGTACTAACCAACATTAGGCGCAATTCTGTAACACATCTCGCCTCCAATCTACAACTAAATAAATTTATGGACTCAGACGAATTTTGAATTAGAACATAATATATTAAAGTTATAATAGTAAGGAAAATATCGTGATGCAACCTGCACATATCGGCGAAGAAATTCAAAGATATGTGTGAAGTCAATCGACCCGCAGAGGGCCAGCGTGGTTGACTATGGCCTAGTCACCCTAACTTAGGGTAGGCTCCGAGCCCCTCGGTGGGGACGTATATAGCTGGTAATGATGATATTAAAGTTCGCCGTTACAATAACAAACATGTTTAAATACTTCAAAAAAAATCACTTTAAAAATAAAACGTTTCTGTTGTAAGGAATAATAGTTGGCCATCTTTAAGTAAACATAATAAGATTATTTAAAAGGCTACAATTAGCTTAAGAAGTAGGCTTTTCGCTAATACACAATTTGTATGCGTCTTGCGATACTTAAATAAATTAAAGCTTTATAAGTGTTTTTAAATACGTTCGTTCCAATATGACTTGTAACCAGCCTTACAAATAAACGCGGTATAAAGTTAGCTTAGGAATATTACGCCGATAATGTTTTAATATCGAAGATTGTGTTGTTATTTGTCTTTAAATGACTTTTATAGCTAAAAGGATTTAAAAATAAAAACTTCTGGAGTCCAGGTCAACTATCTGCGAGAATCTTGATATGAAAATAGAAATACAGAGGGCGCTCGCGTAGACAGTTGATGGACTGGTTAAGACTTTTATGAAACTTTATAAAAGTCTGCGGAGTCGGATACTTAGAATTCAAGACGAAAGATATTTATAATAAATGTTTTAGTAAGAAATAAATACTATTTTTATTCAAAATAATGTTGATGGATAAAATTGAACTAATAATTTCTTGAAACAGTAACTAATATGCTTTACAACCATAACTACGATATTTGGTTAATACAAATACGTCTTTAAGCAACTAGAGATCATGGAAAAGTTCATTAAAACTATTGAAGTTCGCATAAAATTCACAAACTTTAAATAATAAACCATTGATTCATAAACTTGCCCTTTTCCCTACGGAGGGTCAATATGTGCTCAATACATTTCTATCAGCCGTCATCTGAATCCACACCCTTAAACATATCCTCTTTTACACAATTCATACTTTCTTGGTCTTCCCCTACCTTTGTAGCCACAATCACTGATTACACGGTACAATTTTAAACTGTAAATTTCAACTGAATATCTGTTGGCACGTCGCCAACATTGACTGATCCCGGGGGACCGTCTGTACTGTATGCTTTGCTACCTTACGTCTAAAACATTCTTTTAGTTGAAGCCAGACAGAAAAAGGTTGCAACAACCCCTTCTAGAATCACAGCTTTGTTTTATTTTAAGATGAAACAAGTGAAGAATTAAACTAATAGGACGAAATAAAAGAATAATAATTGAACCATCTTAAACTCTGCTGGAATGATAAGGAATGGCTTTTTTTTGCGTTTTTTTTTCTACTGTCTGTTGTCTATTAACCAAATAATTTCACTAACGACCGAATGCTTCACGTCACTTCGTAGGCTCCGCTTACAATTTGACAGACGTCATTTTAATGTATTTTTTTTGAAGTTCAAGAGCGGGCGTACACATTTTACTAAACTATCGCACACAGTTGTGCGATTGTCGATTGTTTCGCATATAATTCAACTGTTTAGTTGGACGACTAAAAATTGAATAGTGTGCGCACCTCCATAACAATCAAGGCGCAACTACACAGTTGTATGATAGTTTTGTCAAAGATGTGCGTTCTAATGTGGCAATTCAAGACGATCATATTTAAATGTCGATTCAGTATTCAGCCGTAGGAAATGTAGTATTCCAACAACTACACACAAAGTAAGAGACAGTAGTACAATTCAGAACAGAAACGACTTGTGACGTTCACCGGTTGTATCCATTATGTCAGCTGACGACAATTGTCCCAACTTGTGCAACTGTGCCCGACTGTACCGCGATTGCTGTTTATGAACTAACAATGAACTGTCAATCATTTGAAAAGTTTGCGGTCACGCAGAACCATCGTTGACTCTAAAAGCTATTATACCCGGCATTTGATTTGGCACGTCGGGACAAGAGTACTCTTCTTCCTGACTTGCCAACTTAAATACCGGTTATTTATGACATAAATAAATGGATAATTAAAAGGATAAAAATATAAAATTGTTTGTAGAAAAATCTTAACAGTAGAATAATTTCGACAGATAATTTCGGTAAATTAGCGAAGTGTCCCGTGACCACTCATCTGACAAAACTTGTAATTACTTGTATTTCACGCCGGTATGTGGTTATAGTACTACAGCAAACTCTACCACTGTGAAATACTTTAATTGATAACTAAACAAGCTTAGTATAAGCTAGAGAAAAATGAAATATACCGTATTGTATAGACTTTAATTGAAAATGTAACGAGGCCAATTAGCGACATAACCTCTCACCCGTTCGCAACTAATTAAACATTCTTTAGACAAGGAACTTTGTCGTAGTGACCTATGTTTAACCTAGTGTTCCTTTTTACATATATATACTAGAGAGACACCCCAGACCCTACGTCAAATTGAACCTTAGTATGACTGATACAGTTTAGACAAACCCACATCTTATCTCTAGCGGTGTATTTTAACAAAGCAAGCGTCTCCCACAAAAGCTAATTGTGGCGGACACGGCGTCTAAAAATACATTGCGGTTAAAATAGGCGACCTATTTTTACTCTGTATATCCCATGTTTGCGAATAACGTCGCATTTGCCGACCACCTACGAGGTAAATAATCTAAACTAACGTACAAACTTAACAGTTCCTTGCAATTGCACGTTTTTTATAGTTTTTTTGCTCTTTTTATATGTAGAATATATCTGAACGTAATAATGATTACCATGGTAAAGTCAAAATATACTGATAAAGATTATTCAACGTTTAAAGAATGTTTTAATTTTTTTATACTAATATAAATGAGAATAATATAACTTACCGATACAGCGTCCCCGAGTGTAATTTCTTCACGCCGTCCATTGCTGGTTTTGTTTCTTTACCATTTCTAAACTTCCCACTCGATTGCCTAATTGACCGTTAATGTATTAAGAAATAATAACATCATGCGACACTGTTTATAGTGCGATTGACCTGGAACAAAAAAAAAACAAACGTTAATGGAATAATTAAGATGACGTCATAACAACGGTTGGCTTCTGTTTCTAAGCCGAAGAAGAAGGATTAAGATTTTTACTTCAAACACAATTCCACGAACAATCTATACTTCTGTTCCGACAGGAATATTGTTATCCCGCTCATTCTTATTAAAAAAAAAAACTAAGTAAACATTATTTTTATTCGTGCATTTTGTCAGTAGAAAATCATAGTTAAGCCCGCTACACACGCTCAGTTTTATCTAAACGATCGGAATGTTCAGATAAAACTAAGCATGTGTAGCAGGCTTTCGATATAACATAATTTAAGTACAAATACGAAGTGAATACTAAATAACGCTGAATTACGTCTAATTACGTTTTGATTTCGGAACATATTTCAATAACATGAATAATCTGTTACAATTATGTATGAATTATCGAAAACCAGTCTTATGCCTTTCGCAATAAGGCTGACAAATCATGAGGTCAATGTACAATAAATTTTGCTTATTGCAACAATGTATTTGTTGACATAATGAGTAATCAAGTACATTTTGTTTAACCCACGTATGTATAAATCTGCATTTATCTAAAAAATACATATTACATTTAAAATGTTAAACATTATTATGATGTTTACTATTTTAAAACCATACAAATATCCATCTATACTAAAGAGAAAAGATTAGTATTTTTGTATGTATTCAAAACCTACTGGACTTTAAAAATTCTATTACCGTTAAAAAGGTAATTTATCTCTGAATAACATAGGCTAAGGTTTTTATTATTTTTTTAATTACACGCGAGTGATGTTGCGAGCAAATACTAGTAATAAATATAACCAATGTCATCATTAAAATGCCAATTAACAACAAAAAAATATATTCAAAGATCTTCTCATTAGTAGAATCGTGAACAAAGATTATTACTGTCCACCCTGGTTATAACGCTCTACCCTTTCACGTACAACTAAAGGGTTTAAAGTGCGAAGGGTGTACAGCTGAATAATTCGTGAGCCTTAACAACCTTCGCACTTGGCAATCGTGTTGATAACAAGCAGGAAAGAAAAAGACACACAAATATACAAAAAAGGATATTTTTTTATGCATCTGAAATAAGAATATGGTTGTCAACGACATAACATTGTTAAAAATGGCTAGAAAAATAAAATTTTGCAAAAAAAATCTATACTAACATTATTTAAAGTAAAGATTTGTATTTTATTATGTATTGAAATAACTCAAAAAATACTGAACCGATTTAAAAAATTCTTTCACATATAAAAAGGTAATTTTTATGATAGTAATATAGATTACATTTTTTTTAATTTCTCGGGGACGAGTCGCGAACAACAGCTAGTGTGAAATAAAAAGAAACCCTTTACTTATACGTATTAACAGTCGATATATTAAAAAGATTGTTGAAAAGATTTACTTTCGGATCAGGGTCCCGGAGACGTATTACAGAAGATAAAAGATACAAGTAAATACATTTAGATCTCCTTGTTTCGATAATAATGGACGTAATATATAAGGGGAAGCCTTTTAAACGATATAAAAGGGAGGATTACGAAGAATTTCGTATATGTTCACTTTGTTAAAAGATTTTTACGATAAATGGTCAAAAACACAATTTAAGAAATCATGGATTGGTAATCTTACTAAATGCGAAAGTTAACATGGATGGATGGATATTTGTTAGAGTTTGTAGCCTAAACTGCTGAATGGATCTCGATGAAATTTGGCATAGATGTAGAGCATAGTCCGGAAGAACGCTACTTACTTTCGTTTTTCAATACGACGCGGACGGAGTCGCGGGCGAAAGCTAGTGTAGAATAACATCTCATCTTGTTACGACAGTCAAAACTCTCCCTTATGTAATTAATGACGTACAAAATCACTTACCCGAAAATCCCATTTTTAATCTAACGTGGCGGATTATGTTTTTTTTGTTTTTTTTAATCCGCAAGTATCACATTAACACAAATACGTATATAACCCAGTTAAAACGCATGGTAATACCATTGATTCGAAATTGAGCGACACGTATCTACATTTTTAGGACACTAGAAAGTCGAGTGAAAAGGTCACATATATGCTTACTGAGGTTCATGCAACTACATTACAATTATGGTCATTATTGCAATACCATTGGGAGTAATTTAACTTGAAACACAAAAATCAGCAATTAATGAAATATTTTAAACTAGCTTTCGCCCGCGATTCTTTACGAGTAATTAAAAAAAAGTGAGTATTCTGTGTTCCTCCAGACTATTTTCCACATCTATAACAAATTTCATGGAAATCCGTTCAACTTTAACAAACATCCATCTAAACTTTCGCATTTATAATATTAGTATGATTTGAATTTTCTCTTGGCTCTGATTTTAGAGGTGTTTGTCGTGAAAAAATATTATTATTATTGCATTTTTACACTGTTTAATAATAGTAATATATAGAATCTTTTATGTTTATTATTATTATTATTATTAGTACTTATTGTTTAAACAGAGATGACACGGAAAAATTTTAACTTTCACAAAACTTTCGATTCCTAATAAAAGTAATATAAAACGACACAGAAAAAGAATAAACTTTTGAATAAAAGTCATTTCATTGGTTAAATCTTTCTTTAGATTACAAATGTATCGGATATCATATGTAACAAATAAGAATTGTTTTTTGTAGTCCGTTTAATATATCCATTACTACTTTCATTTGCCTCATCTATACTCTTATAAAGAGGAAAAATTTGTATTTTTGGGTTTTTGTATGTATTCGATTCTCGTAAAAACTACTGGGCCGATTTAATAATTCTTTTACCATTAGAAAGGTAATTGTAAAAGGTATCTGTGAGTAATACAGGCTATGTGGCCAGAATTTTTTTGATTTTTAATTCAACACGGGCGAAGTCGCGAGCAACAGTTAGTTTTGTAATAAAAGATATTTTTAAATATTCGTTTAAAAATTGGTGACGCAGCGGACTCATGATAATGACGTTGATTCGCTTTTCGAATAATGCCGGGTTTCTGGAGTTTTCATTTATTTTATCGTTACCCAATGATTAATTAAAGTTAGTTTCACCTTAATTTCAACGGAGTAAAACTCAAGTTGCGTTCGGAAACGCATTTTAAAAAGTTATTGAACCAAAAAATTAACGAATGGTTAAATGTAGCTGGGAAACCCATAAGTGCATCGTAGTCTTATAACGGATTTTATTAAAGGGAACATCTCGCCTGGAATTGTTACATCCACTGGCGGACAAACGAGGCTAATTGCCGAAGCAATTAACTGAGAAATATGGAAGCGACGCATATTATTTACGACTACACAGTACAGAATTCCACAGTACCACAAGATTGTAATATTTTTGAGGTTAGATTTAATTAAAGGATATAGCATACATTTCATACGTTTCCGTATGTATTGACTTAGTTGTAATTCCATTTATATAAGTACTAGCGTTTGCCCGCGACACCGTCCGCTTGAAATAAAAAAAAAAACAAAAGTAAGTAGCCTATGTCTTCACATCTGTGCCAAATTACATCTGTGCCAAATTTCATCGAGATCAGTTCAGCCCTTTAGGCTACATACTTTAACTAACAGCTATCTAAACTTTCGCATTCATAATATTACTCATAGTAAGAAGTAAGATTGTTTTTACTAACGTAAGCTAACTGCCTTTTCGTTCCATTTACTAATATAATAAAACGTAAACACACACTACTTTGTGGCGTAGAACGTCAGCAATCACAGCATACTTTTGAATAACTTTTTTCATAAAATACCCTACACTTACGACACGCTTTAGGCTATATATTTTCACGCTATTAAACTTAAGTTGGAAAAAAACCTTCTTGTGGGAAAGAGACCATAAACTACAAGCTGCCAGCTGCGGATGAAGCCGCACGGGAACAGCTAGTAAGTCATATTTTGGCTTTCGGCTGGGAACACACTATCTTACCGGATCTAAAATGTGTGTACACTTGGGAAATTCGAGTAGCAAAATGCATAAATACATTTCATAAATTAAACACATAAATGCAAAACACCGAAAGCAAATTCAAAGGACTAAGGCCTAGGGAATACTAAATTGGGTTTTGTTGAATAAAACTCATCTGAACTGACCTATCGTCCGATATAACCTTGTTTTCATGTTGATTGTTTAAATCAAACTACTCTGTCAACTAGGTCGGCATACTGGGTACAAAATTAATTATATCCTTTCAAAACAAAACTTAATTGAACAGTAAACATAATATTATTAACATTATAAAAGCGAAAGTTTGGATTTATTTATTAATGGAAATTACGTAGCACCAAAACCAAATAAGTCTTTTTTTATAAGAGAAGGGGGCAAACGAGCGGCGGAAACACAGAGGTGGTTAACGACGCCCACCGACATCCACAACACCAGAAGAACTACAGATGCGTTGCCGGCCTTTGAGGAAATGATAGGCTCGCTTCTTGAAGGACCCTAAGTCGTATTGGTTTGGAAATACCGCCGAGGACAGACCGTTCCACAACGCGGCTGTGCGGGCAAATGTCTTAAATATCGGTGAAATTTGACACAGATGTAGAAAATAGTTTGAAAGATAATATAGGCTTCTTACTAAGGTTTTTTGTAATTCATAAGCTAGTGCTATTTATAATAGATGGCTAACAATTAACACCAGAAACGTAAGATGTAGAAGCGAGAGAGGTATACAGAGATTGCTTCAAATGGAAATCTACCGCTTACCCCGTTAGGTAACAGGCGTTGTTGTATAAAACTTTAGATATCTATTCTCAAACCACGAATATCTATTCTCTATACTAATATAATAAAGCGTAAACACCCACTACTTCGTGGCGTAGGATGTCAGCAATCACAGCACATTTTTTAATAATACTTTCTTTAATAAAAAGCCCTACACTTACGACACGCTTTAGGCTATATATTTTCACGCTATGAAACTTAGGGGGTAAATAAATTGAAAAAACCTTCATGTAGGAAAGGGTCCATAAACTATACATTGCCAACAGTAAGATAGCACAGGTTATTATGGTTGCTATTGAGAATTGGATAAATGTAAACAATCAAAGTTTTACAATTTCGTGCGGATTAAGCCGCACGGGAACCGATATGTCTTTATTTTGAATATAAAAACGTATGAATTACATGTATCATTACAAATGTACAGCTGGGCATTGAACGGGTATTACTTACGAGTGGATGAGCCCTATCCATGGCAACGATTATCGATCACTTATTTGTACTTGAAAATAACAAATGAAACCCGCTACATACAACTATTATCTATATAAATACGTGTAATAGAGCGGAAGAAGTATTTATAAGAATATTAAATATATTTTTATTTTATTTTTTGCAATCAGTAAATTAAAGTATTTTACCAAAAAGTCCGTACATCACAAATCTAGAATGGTAATGAAAATTATGAAAAAAAAAGTATTATTTTATTACATTATGTTTGAGGCAATCTTATAAAAACTATCATTACTTAACGCAATAATGACGTATTTTAGTTTTTAGACCGCGAAAAAGATTTTAAGTCCGTCAAAATAAAAGTTCCAAGATATTTGTCTACTTAGTCGACAGGACATTCAAGAATTCTCAGTACCGTCTCGTAAATATTTAAAAGAACAAGAATTTACAGATAACCTTGGAGCGGCCTTTCTTAATGATTTACGACTGCGTGCTCCTTCCTTTCTTATAGTAAAGCGATATTACGAGCTGTTCCTTCCGGAATAACTCCATAACGGTATAATTGTAGGAAAGAGAAGGAATTTGAGATATAATCTTCTATATAAATACGGAGTAGTCTTACTTAGGCATAATCTACAGTTAACAGAAGATATCGATAAATTTACTTACATAACATTGCGACAATTGATAACAGGGTCACAACCTCATAATTATCTCTTAAACCAGGTTAAATATCATAATTTCATTTAGAATTAAATCATTAACAAGGTAATCTTCAGTCATAATCCTCGTGGACTTGTTTTTAATCAACGGACGCGATTCCACAAAAAATCCGTACAGAGAAAAGAGCACAATGGCTTGGAATTACTCCTCCTTGGGGTTGCCAGTTCCCTATCGCAATAAGACATGTCCGTTTATGTCCGGCGATGTGAGACATGCGCTGAGACAGAAATACCCTAAACTGCAATCGTATGTTTTCTACATTATCTTGTAAAATTCTTTAGCTTTCCGTTTTTAATTACAACAGCAAACTATTGGAAAGTTAGGTATCTTTGAAATTGTAAGAATAAATACGATAAAACATCAAATCTTGTTTAGATAGATGTTTGATAAGAGTTTGTACGCTAAACTTCTAAATGGATCTCAATAAAATTTGACAGAGACATATATAATCTGGAAGAACACATAACTACATGTTTTTAAGTGTTCACTAATTACGCGCGAACGAAATCACTGGCTATAAGAAATAACGAAACTGGTTCAAATAAAATTGCTAGCCGAAACATATAAACTGCTTTTATGCATTACTCAGATAAAAAATGCAACCGAGACATTTTCTAACACTATCAGAAACAAATAATTTGAAAAGAAGACTTTATTTAAATGTAAAAAGTACACTATGTAAAGAATTAACATATAAATGAATTAATCAAGCAATAAGTAGGTTGTAAATGTATAAAATGTAGGTTACCAAATCAACAGTTCAACAACATTACCTAAATTAGAAACTTGTTTATATGAATATTTATAAACATTTAGTAATAAAAGCAGTGTTAATAACTACCTTTTCTAGTAAGATAGAGAACTTTAGAAAATCTTGGCATAATTAACTGGAAATTGGTAGCCACTAACAGACCGAAGTGGAAAAAATTGCTTGACCAAGCCTAGGTTCACAAAGGGCTATAGATCTAAGGAAGAAGAAGTGTATTTAATAACAAAAATATTTACAAGATCAATCTTTAATATGTAGAACATAGAGGACAAAGATTGAAATTTAGTAAAATACTAGCTTTCGTCCATGACTCTATTCACACGGAATTAATAAGAAGAAAGTAAGTAACCCATGTGTTCTTCCAAACTGTCCTCTACATCTATGCCAAATGCCAATAACATCCAGTAAGCAGTTTAGACTACAAACATCCAAACATACAAACATAGCATATATAATCCAGTCAGCAGTTTAGACCAGAACCATCCATCCATCCATCTAAACTTTTGCATTTATAATATTAGTAAGTTTATAAATGGTTCAAATTCAAGTGTGAAAGGAGTGAATTCAGTTATGACTGAAGAGATGTAAGAGTACATACTGTGCAAAATTTCCATAGGGAATAGTACAGGATGAATCTTAGCTAAGAGTAACCAAAAAAAAATTAATAGAATATAACTAGACTCTCGAAACCTGGTTTACATATATAAGGACAGTAATCATCTGTAATGTTTATTTTTTGTTTATATAATTGGTATTTTACAACTAGTTTGAGTTAAGGTTGAATACTGAAGCATTACTATCTTTCTTATCCTACTCCCGTAGGGTCTGCACAACAGGTTTTTGTCCTCCACATAACTCTATCATGCATCATCTCAGTCATCACTCCCTTGATCATGTCACCTTTCATGTAATCCATTCTCTTTCTAGGTCTACCTGTACTACTGTGTTCTTCCACACTCATAACTAATGTTCTCCTTGTTACATGTTTCATCTGTTGGTAATACTAAAACAACATTTAAATATGTAACAATGTAATAATAATAAGACTATACTTATTCCTGCACATTTCAAATTTGGATAATTCAGATTGTAAGCTGCGTTTACAAAGCATGGGATTCTAAATTCATTTCAGAATTCGGCCCTTAGAGATTTTCAAGAAGCATATATGATCATTTTGTTTCTGTTGGTTATTTACCGTCTTCTACGTGAGATGTGGAAAGGGTTGTGTTATATGAATGGACTGATATATGATTGTAGCATCAAGAAATATCATGACCTGAAAGTCATGAACATAGGATGGGGTTTTTGTTATGTAAATAATAAATAGAGTTATCTAATATTTGAAATTATAACATGGCTGTGGATTATTTTTAAATAATTTCTTCTATGTTCTAACACCTAAGAAGCAAACTTTGAGTTATTTTTTACTTACATATGCATCACATAAGTGAAACTTAACTAATGGTATTATAGTATCTTACGTACAATGCTTTTTATTAAACTCCAGTATGCAGAATACTTATTGGAATACCCTTAGAAAATTCTTGTTAGACTTTTGTAGATAAGTTATAGTTTTATTTAAGAAAAATAAAAATTAAAAAAGCCAAATGAATATATACTATTTTTCAATTTCTGATTGATGTCGAAATGCTAATTTTTAAATTAAAATAAATTTTACAACCAAAATTTTGAATTCTATATATAGTGAAACGAGCAAATAAGTAGAAGTATTTACCTCCAAGTGTTAAAAATGTTTTTGAATGAAAAGTACAGAAAATAATAAAAATATGAAGCAATTGTAATACTATTTAAGATAGATGTGTGAATTATCTTACGGATTGTTGTGTTGCAGGAAAGTCCTCGGTTTAATCACTTTTTTGCAATTCAACCACGTAAATATCACAGACTGATCACACACCGAAAATGGCTACAAACATCGAAATCGCAGACACTATGAACGCATACTGCTCTGCACTAAATGGGACGTGAGATAGGTGTTTACGGCATCAAGTACTTCTATGAATGCACTTTCCAACAGCTTTTACTATCACACGGCCCCTACTACAAGCAAGTAGTACAAACGGCATGAAAAATACTTGGTTACTGACGTACGTACTTTACGCACTGGGAGCGGTCGGAATGTAATCAGCAGCGCCACGAACAAGTCTCTTCAAGCGTAAAGTAAACGGTTTAAGCACCAACAGTATCACTTAATCCAATCCATTTAAATCAAGTTCGACACTAATCACATAAAATTTAGAGGACACCGAAGCGAAATCTACCGACCCTCCTCCCTTCAGCATTAAATAATCATAGACAATTTCTGACTTTTTAATCTCATGCAACCAATAGTAAAAGGTACGCGATAGTTACAGCCAGCTTGTTATTTTACGATGAATACTTAAATAATTTTGGGTTAATCTTCGTTACCAAAAAAATTTTGCTTCTCTTAAAATGCCAATTTTAAAAACTTTTATGTTATTAACTAAGTAACATTTTACTCTTATGAACAAAACCTGTTCTCATACATCGACTACATGCATTTCTTTATTGATAATGGAAAGGTAATAAGTAATTGTAGCTATTTTGATTAAAAGTTAATCCGTTTATGTAGTTTTCAGTAATTAGTAAACCATTTTGAATAAATTAAGATCGACCATAGACTATTGGCAGACAGTGAAACAAATAGATTTCTCAGAGTGCATATTCTATTTCAAGAATACGTGTGTTCGGATACACAAATAGAATTTTCAAGACAATTTTTAAAATCCCATGTTCTTTTTTGATTTCTATCTAGAAGAATTAACTTAAAGTGTCCTTAATACTTGAGTTTTTATGTTATGTGTTGGTTTAGAATCTCAATTACTTTAAAGTATAAGTTACGTTACTTTACTTGTTAGAAAGTTACTTGTTTTACCTAAAAAAGCAATATTTCTTTTTTGTTTCTTCATGTGTATTTTATTTTTTTGGTAGTAAACTAACTTCAATGTTATCATAATTACACACATTTTGGTTTTAGGCATACCAACTTAAAAGTAAGAATACAATTATTATATTAAACTAAAATTTTCTAGAATATGTGTTTTCCTGCCTAATTTTTAAACAAGACAGTTCAGATCTGGTAGGAAACGTCAGAAATGTTAACGCCTTAATTATTTTAACAATACGAATTACGGTTTTACAAAGTTCAAACGCTATGACACTGGAACAAACTCGTTAAAATTATTTTATCAGAATAACAACTAATGCTGATACGTGTAACCGAACGGATATCTTACAGTTCTCACACTTTTGTTGTTTTTGTGTAGAAAAGGAAATTTGTGAGAAGTATCCATCCCATGTGTATTGGTGTACATATATTATGTATGTTGTGTTGTGTGTGCGTGGTGATTTGTGTTATATGCTTATAGAAAGAAATTAATTATATGAGTGTATTTTAACGATGAAACTTACATAAATGTGAAGAAACACCGTGTTTTGTGTTATCAAGTGCTAGTGAATCCGTCAGGAGGCGGTAATCATGTACGTTTGCTTGCTATTTGTGGATTCTGGATCTCGTCTCGTCGATGTACCATAAACAAAAATGTCAGCGATCCCGATTTTTTGTTTCTTGTTGCATACCCATCGTTATACCTTAATTAGATCACACGAATGATATAAATTATTGTTAGACGCTTTCTCCGACGGTGTCGTCTCATCCAAACGGCGTGTCTTTGGCAATAAATCGGCCATAATAAGCGTGCGTTTGGTGTGCTTCGCGCCCGTCTACACCCGACCTATCTCATTGTTTATGTATGGAGAGTAAACCTGGATTTTTATGGTGTTTGCGGCATATTCTGGTATTAGTTGAATATCTGGGAACGATCAGGACCTGGCAGCGGCCGGTCGAGCGCGGGTCCGCGGGGCGCCGCTAGCGTCTTCCGACCAAGGTTCTTTGAGATCTCTATTTATAATAATATCTCGATCGTTTGGTGCAGTATAATGACATTCTTGTAATGAAGTGGCGCGCCGTGGTTCTGTGGGACATGTGCCAATAATTTCGCGTGTGACGAAATCCGCGGCAGGCCGTGTTGTGTTGTGTGTATACAACATTGCACTTCTGTTTACATGATCCTATCAATGGTAACCTTTTACTATTATTTTATGCTTATGTACAAATAATTAGCTAAAGTTATGCATGTAAGTTCTTATCAAACATTTACAAATACATTGTTAAATAATAACTACAAGATATAGAGAATTCTTAATTCCTAAATACATAGACATCAATTTTGATACTTGTAAATAAGGGATACAATCAGAAAATAAGTTATTTGCATAAATAGATAGTTTTTTGTTTATATTTAATGCATAATTTGTTTTCTTCTTGAAATATCACATCTTACAAATTGCCCTCATTATCAGGGTAGAGTGAGAAAGTTTTGTTATATGTATGTATTTTTTGCATTAAAATGCAAGCAGATGATCTATTTTGTAACTGCATGTTACAACTATTATCTATAACAGTATACTTATTTCTTAAAGTAGACTTTGTATCTATTATTTGGTTTATATTAATAATATAAAATCTTTTTATTGACTAGTAAAACAATAACATCAGCTTAAAATTGTTCACTGAATTAATGCCTCATCCATAAATGTAGAAAAATGATAATGGTAAACTGTATAATAAAAGTTTATTTCTAGTCTATTTTATTTAACTGACAAATTTAATAGGCAATAAACAAATTAAACCCTATATATTTTAATGATCAGGTAGAAAATATTCATTTATTACCGTAATTAATAATTTTTATACCATTCAATATAATATGATGTAAATATCTTGTACCTTTTATAATCAAGTTTGTAGGTTCCCGCAGAATGATGTATAAAACACTATCTTTTGCCAGTGACTATCTGCGGTGAAAAAGTTAATAAACACAGCCTATTTTACTCAGTGATAACATTTCTAATGGTAAAAGAGTTTTTTAAATAAGGTCATACAAAAATATAAATCTTTCCTCTTTACAATATTAGTATAGGTTCCAATTTATACCACACTAGCTGTTGCTTGCGACTTCGCCCGCATGAAACTAAAAAATGTAGCCTATGTTACTCAGATAAATTACCTTTCAGGTAAAAGAATTTTTAAAATCGGCCCAGTAATTTTTCAGTTATTACAATACATACAAAAATACAAATCTTTCCTCTTTATAATATTAGTATAGATATTGCTTGTTACAATAAACCTACCACTATTTGTCAATAATTCTATAATTTCGAGAATAGACTGTTTACTTTAGTAATATAACCAGATCTTGCTGTGATATGCTAAGTTATTTGTACTAATCTAAGTAAAATAAAAAATCTTCAACTTGTCCTCATACCTATGAAGCATGGGCACTTAGTACTTCTCTTACATATCTCTCGTCATCATATCTGAATTGACTTCTGTACAGTTCCCACATGAGTTTTAGCCATGTTATAAATAATATAGTATGATGTCTCACGAAAGTTTTAATAAGTTAACTGTACAGATTCATTCGCAATCCAGTTATACTTTCTGCGGTCTATCTCTACCTTTGTAGCCAGTCATATTTAATCTTAATACATTCCTGGACAAGCAATGTTCATCTCTGATTAGCTGTTTACTCTCAAATTTATAATTTTGAACTCTAAACTTGTTTTTTTTTTAATTATAATAAGCTTAGGGCTTTGTGGAGTGTTTTATTTTCTTTGATAACATTCGGTTTAAATATAATTGATTTTAGCTTTATTGTTTTCTTAAAATGTTGTTTTACTTGCTAGAATATATTCAAGAATTATTTTGTTGTTATCATAAATACAATTTTATTAGGAATGTAGCATACACTTTACTATTTTGAAGTAGTAATTAAAACATTATGTGTATGTCAATAATAATTTTTAATTATGTAATTTCTAAATTTGTAGTTTATATATCTATAAAAATTCCAATGTCTTTTAGGTTTACCATATTCACCATAATTCAATATTTTTTTTAATTTCCATTTTATGTCGTTGTCCGGAACATTCTAATGAAATTAGGATGTTAATTGTACGATGGATTTAATTATTGCATTTATATGATGTAAATAAGAAACAAAATTTTTGTGGTCACTGTTGTTTTTATTTAATTAGTTGAAACATTCACTGCTAACTGAGAAACATTATGGCATGGAATGTGTTTATATTTGAAATATGGTTAATTGTTGATTTTTGATTATTATAAAATATCTTTTCAGTCAAGTTGGCGAAGGCACGTAGGGGCATGATCAAGGAGAAGGAGAAGGGCGGGGGCGCCCGCATAAAGGACGAACCAAACGATCCAACAGAACCCGGTATGTCATATCCATAATAATCTTTCTACTAGAAAACTTGTCATGTCCATATTAAGTTAATGTCCCATCCATAATAATATCAACACTCATTGGTAGAACCTAGGATGTATCCATAATACTGTCAATGATACTGAAAAGTACTTGGAGAAATCTTAAGCCATATTAAAGAACTTTGTGTCATGTCCACAATAATATCAACCTGTACAAAATATTGTCTTCCACCGCCTTGTGTTTTCTAGGTGGAATGTAAAAATACACTAAAACTCGTGTATTTATTTCAATATGACTTGCAACATATTATAGCTTTATTCTTGCGTAGGTCTTTTAATTATTTTTGGTAGTAAGACTTAAATATTAGTCTATTATTACACTATAAATGTAAAATAACGACATAAATGTATTCTGCAAGTCTTTCTACCTATAAACTAGTTTTTACAATAATGACTAGTAATAAAAACATGAGCGGTCTTAGCTCTAGGAATGTTTTAATAATTAGTTTGCAAATAATAATCAACTGCACTTGTCTTTAAGGTCATTTTCAGTGGCGTTTATCTAGAATGACTATGCCCTTCTGAAGTTATTTTATGCACTAGTGCAAACTGTCGATAATAGATGGCGGTGCAATTAATTAAAAAACAAGCAAAAAAAATGAGCACAATCTAAAAGATTCATTTAATTTATTACCAGAAGTAATATTTCAATGTGTTCTTAACACTGAACGATGTCACTAGCCCAGTCTTATGTCGCATATATGAACAAAGTGTAGAGAAAAATATACCAAAGATATAAGGGACAAATTTACGTCACAAAAAAAATTGGACATATATGACAGAGTTACATATCTCATATATACGGACTCTATTATTTTCATTGAATTCGATTATATTACTAGTTTGTAGACGCTTTGCCGATGGTCTCGTGACGTCATAAGTTAACCCATGATACAGAGCAGACGAGCGCGGGATGCGTAGAGGGAGGAGAAGTCATCGGCAAACCTGCCCACAGTTGTCTGTATACTGTGTTTACAAACTTTTTGTTTTGAAATAACAGTAAAACTTGACAAATCATAACCGGTTAAATGAAGCCAACATTCCATTAAAATACCAAAAGTTTAAATCATTAGATATAAAAGAAATTATAGTAATGCGTCGGTGAAAGCAAATCATGTTAGCCGGTAATCGATTAGTCTCATGTCCGATGCCGCGTTTATAACAATGATCATTGATTGTAAAGGCTAATGGATAGGCAGAGACATCATCCGTAAAACACGCGCTTAACACATTCACTGCCGCCGAGTTCAAACGTGTCAATCTTAATATTGTCCCGGAAATACATATGAAAGTACCTGTATGGTTATGCCCAACCGTCAACCCGCTCTGTCCCCTCGTCAATACAGATGAGAATAAAAAGTGTCATCCGTCCCACCTTTTGTGATAAGGAGACGGTTGGAACTTATTTTATTTCATAACGGTTCCATCTGTCACCTTATTGGTGATAGTGTGATTAAAAGGTGAGAGGGATGAAACTTTTTGTACTCACGAGGGGACAGAACGGGGTGACGGTTGGGAATTATCCACCTGTAACTGGTATGCAAGTGACCAGTATGGTATTTAATCTTGTGACACTGGAAATAAGATGAGGAAGGGGTCGAAAGTAGTACTAATCTTGACACTGTCATGTCACATAGGATCTCGGATTTTACTAGCATTTGTAAAAGTACACAACGCGAGCTACTACACTTTTTAATGGCATGGGTATTTCCGCTTTTAATCCAGTATCGGCGACCCGTCATGTCAAGTAAGGCCCTTCGCATGATTTGTCAATTTTCGAAACAAGCAGATTTTAAATACCAAACGACTTATGCAGCTTATCTGTGTACGAACCTCTACGATATTGTATTGTATAAATCGTTTATTATCTTTTCGTCGTGTACTAATGGCCTAAAATGAATATGGCATTCGAGATGACGTAAAAGTTGTAGCATGGAACGTGTTAAACATGTAAGTCTAAGATATGTTGGTATTCGAGTATTTTAAATTAGAAAGTATTATATGTTGACAAATGATGTGTTACACAATCTTTAAAAACAACATCCTGGATTTGATTAGAGTATTGGTATAAAGAATATAAAACTATATAAATATATCAAAATGGCTGTTGCTTGATTAAAAAAAAAATACAAAATATAGCCTATGTTACTCACAGATTAATTACCTTTCTAATTGTGAAAGATTTTTTAAAATCGGCCCAGTAGTTTTTGCGTGAATCAAATAATGCAAAAATACAAATCTTTCTCCTTTTTAATATTATATTATATAGATATGGGTTACTTGTTCCGATTCAGCTTTTTTACTGTATGGACTTATTTAACCCCGTTTGATTTTGTTTCATCATCATCATCACCAGCTCACTATAAGTCCTCACTGAGGGACTCGGAGCCTACCGCGCTGGCCCAGTGCGGATTAGTATTGTTATTGTTTGGTAGTTTTGAAAATTTGACTTATCAAAGAGCGAGATGTCATTCGAAATTAGTTGGATATATTAATATAAGGATATTAACGTCTAGATTTTAGTATAAATATCCTTATTGAGAGATTTGTATTTAAATATCTTAAAGTTAACACATATTTTCCTATAGTATTTCTAATTATGGAGACTAGTGCGGGTCGGCGTTATCTCTACAATTTATCAACAGTATACGTAATATGACAACAATGAAGTAGAGATAAAAGATAATGTAATACAATAACAACAAATTATTGTAATCGTATTAAAATTTTAATCGGTTGTGAGTTTAGATTCTTACTTAAAACGGGATATTTTCGGTTAGTGTAGCTTATGTATTTTTAGTTGTACTTGTTCATATATGTAGTACTAACTAATTGTATCAAAGATAATAAAAAAGACATACATCTTAGGTATTCAGAAGAGACCACTGGCATATTTCTCGCCTTTATGACTCATTTTATAATGAACTCACGTTTGACGGGAGTGTCGTTGTTCACTTGTGGCTGCGTGACCCATGTGCGGCGACCCTTAGCTTTTAATGTAATTTATTATAATAAAAGGGAAAGACTATGCACAATAAAAATGCTACCTTTTTTAAAATAATGTAAATAGTTTTTAAAAGGTAAAGATATCTCTTTTTGACCTCAATCGACTTTGCAATAAAGACACAACAATTAGGTGATAAGGAAAAGGATTAGGGTTACATCCACTGGCGCGTCCGCAAGTAACATGCAATTAGCAGTCGCCAGCGGCAATGTCACTAATCACTTAGTGGAAAATACCCTTACGTTGATAAAATTGTACTTGAATGCCACAGTTAGAGCTACATAATCTCTAATTAAGCAGTCACTCAGTATCAGATAAGTTTCTCGTATTAACCGCCTCAGGACTCTGTGTACAGAAGCGTTAATATTTACTAGAAGAGACACTGTCAGGAGCACCAATAAATGACTACATACATGACAGTAAAGCCTACTTCACACAACACTAATTTAGTAGTAAAATTCTATTTGACAAAATTCTTGTTGTTTAGACACATTTAGCTACTAAATTACTAGCCTGATACGAACTAGGTATAAGAATAGTTAATTCAATGAGTGTTGTGTAGGTCATGGTTCACGTCCGCCGAGCGCGTCGTTGCCGACGCCGGCGGCGCTGAAGAAGGAGCCCGAGGAGGGGCATCGCGTCAAGTTGGAGCCACACACGCAGCCGGAGGACGCCAACCAGGAGCTCGGCGTTGACGGCATCAAGACTGAGATCGACGGCCTTATGGATAGCGACGGTAATACAATACTCTCATCATCTCCACTACCTTATACTACTCCCGTAGGATCTATATTTAATAGCACAACAGGGTACTCTGTTCTAAATTGTAAACAAAAAAATTACAACACGTAAATGTAAAATGTATTTGGGTAAACTAGCTCGAAATACATTTTTTTTCTCTGTAATACACCACATTTAAGTATAGACCGACAAGGATGTCAGCATAGGGCATAAATGAAACTAAACTATAATATTTCTGTCCTTTTGTCCCATCTATGTCCATAGGTTTTATATATTTTGTGACAAATTCAAACAACAACAGTATTCTAATAATACTTTAGATTCTATTGATTATGTAAAATAGTCCAATAGCCTCCGAAGGTGACATTTGTTTACAATATTTGTCTTGATTTGAAACAGTTTGTACCAAAAAACTAATCATAAGTACTGTAAAATCGTATATACATATTGACCATGTATTAGGACAAAATAATAGCAGTTACGTTTGTCCGACATTGCTTCGACATTGATAATAATCGCTTAGGTAATTTTTGTACAGCCGTAATCCTCTGCAGCCGGAAATAATTGTTTTGTAATGGCACATTACAATGTCGAATGACGTTAACAACTGCATCAATATATTAAAAGTTAAAAAAAATTACGATATTACTCTCTATATTTGAAAAAAAAAACTTTTATGAATGTATGGAAATGTTACTCTGTTATTGGAATTAATGGATTATTGCAGTGCTATACTTACAGATTATAACTGCCATACTCAGAGTCATTTAATGGTTAATTAAGCAGCCTTTTAAACTTTAGAATTCCCTTAGTGATTATTAAATGAATCAATGCCACACTTAGACAGGATCACTAAGAAATTCCGTTAGTGTCGCATTGTTTAAAAAATATACACTTGGAGATATTGTAGTATTATAGCTAGTAATTGTTATAAATTTCTTTAATTATTAATATTTTATTTCAGGTGACCCAACAAAATCCCCATCTTGCGAAATGGGTGGCCCCGGCTCATTGAAATCGGAACGTCTCTCATCTGATTCAAACGATATTTTGGACCCGCAGACCGGCCTGAGAGGTTCAACAGGGAACCTGCAGGTAAAAAAAGTAATATACCTTCAATTTATAGGCATGTTGCATGGTTTGATTGGATTGTATGGACATTATTGAAGTTTGAATGTTGGTTATTGGACGAAGATAAATAATATATTTTATTTATTAGTGGTTTTTTCTAAAATATTTTAAATTTTATTTGAAGAGTGACTTGTTATATGTTATAAGTAATATAATCGCATGAGAAAAATATAGAAATTAATATAGTTGAAATGGTAATTTTTTGAAATAAACTTGGAATATTCATTTTGCTAACCATTATTACAATGGTATGGGTTTTTGTAATGTAAATGCATGCCTTTTTTTAAACTTTGCCTTTCATAATTTTTGCCAAAAGCTGATGAATTTTCTAGAACATCGGGACAAGAGACAAGAAGTAATATAGCATGTTCTGAGAGCTTAACTAATTTTTTTAAGTGTCAAAATATTTATAAAAAAGTCGACATTCGTAATCTCCATTTACAATAAATAAAATATTAACTAAAATTGAATTCGTTATTAAAAATAATCGATATAAAATTTCGTATCTTATAATGTTAGTAAGAAGTAATATCGTCTGTTAGGATGGCAACCAGAACTGCCGCAACCCAAATGAGAATCTGGGCTCGTGTCGGATGGGCGGAGGGCCTATGGGCGGCGTCTCTATGGGGCCTATGTCCAGCGAAGCTCAGACCCTACCTGCGAACGTTATCAGCAAACAGGCCGGCAGTATGGAGGTAACTTAATATAACTTATGTTTTATCATAGTATGTAGTACTTATCATAGTGAACTTTTTCTATAGTACCTTCTCTGAAAGTTTAGTAAGTCATGCCATGTCCTTGTATAGACATGGATAAAATATTTTACAAAGTTGTAATATGTTACATAATTTTATTTGAAATAAACTTAACTTCATTTATTAACACCTATGGGTCAATTAATTTAAAAACAAAATTATTACATTGAAATTAATTACAATGGTTTTGAAGATTTATCAATAGACAGTGTGAGATTATGTGAAAAATGTTTCAAGTAAAATCTCAACTGTGCCTCCTCTATATATTCTTTGAATATCTTTGGTTTCACTTAGACACTTAACTTTAAAACAATAGATAAAAATAATTTACCTTTCTCTTAACAGCAAAGTCAGATCTTCGTGTTCTCAACACTATTGGCCAATAAAAGTGCGGAAGCTGTGATATCCGGCCAGCACCACTCCATCATTGCCTACCACTGCGCTCAGCCTAACACCAAGAAGTATTTAGAGGTAAATATAATGTTGTATAGAGGAAACAAAACTTAAATCTAAGATTTACAATGTACTAGTTGTTGGTCCTAAAATTAATAAAAAAAATGTAGCCATGTTACTCACTGGTACGTGATTGTGAAAGAATTTTTTAAGTCTACCTAGTAGTTTTTGACTTATTTCAACACATACAAAGATACAAATCTTTCCCCTTTTATAATATTGGGATAGATGAATTTGTAATGAAATTTATTTATGTTACAGAAACACCCACTGAAAATAGGCCAGTTTAACAAACAAAGTCCCGCACAATGGTTAAACAACCTCGCGATGGCAAAGAACCGCGGAGGTATGCGCGCCGGCCCCAACATGATGGGAGGTCCCAACCAAATGGGCCACATGATGGGCGGACCCATGGGCCCCAATATGGGACCTATGGGTCACGGCGGCATGGGACACATGGGACCAAACATGATGGGCCCCAACCGAATGGTCGGTCCCGGAAACCAAATGATGATGATGAAAGGCGGTCCAGGACAGATGGGACAAATGGGTCCTGGGATGGGTCCCATGGATGGGTTTCCAGGGGGCACCCCGTCCTGTGGTGTCATGGACGGCCTCGGTGCTGATGGTGAAATGCCATGGGACACCGTGAGTAAAACTCCTTTTTTAAATTCCGCACAGTTTTCTAATCACATTTATAAGTCAAAATACTGAATTTGTTATGTTTAATAATATATTCTCACTTATATAAAAAAAAAACTTAAAAAAACCATCGCTGCAAGTAGTTTATTTTCTTTAGATTCTTAATTATAAACTCAATTTTAGCAATATTAATATTTTCTTCGCTAACATAACTAAATGTAGGTTTAAGGAGCCAATGCCCCCTCCTCTTTCAAGTATACCTTAAAAAAAATTGTATCACAACAATTTATAGAGTGTAAACTCTATACAATGAAAATTAAACTTTTTATGTATTATAAATAAAAATATTGTTTGTTATGTTTATAGAAAAACTCCTCAGTAATGTCTAACGGCATGTCGAACGGGCCGCCGCTGGCGATGCCGCCGTGCTCGGAGGCGGGCGACGCGCCGCCGCAGAACGACGCCGCGGACTCGCAGTGCCAGCCCGGACCTAAAGGTATCCTCTATTATACACAAGCTATGTGTTCTTCTAGACTATGCTCTAGATCTATGCCAAATTCCATCCAGATCCTTCCAGCCGTTTAGGCTACAGACTCTAACAAACCCTACCCACCACCACCCATGGCCCCACCGACCCTCAGGTCATACGGGCCGAATCGCAGGAGGGCGCACACGATCTAACCGCATGCACCTTCTTGACTCCCTACAAGTTATATTGTCATTTATTTGTAACAAGTCTCCCCCTAATGGGTTTGACGACACAATGGACACGAACATGTTCGCCGTCGGGCATCCACACCAGCGCCTTACTCCAGTCTATATCTTCGCTGATGCCAACGATGTGCAAACTCACGTAACTTAGCAACGTTCACCCCGTTGCTAACAAGATCTGGGTAATAAATCGGGCCCGCGTTCCGCAGAGCAATCCCATCCATCATCTTCATCCTCAGATCGTCATACTGAGGACATTCCCACAAAACGTGATGAATATCCTCCTCAGCCTCACCGCACTCACACATACTCGATTCAACCAATCTCATTTCGTGCAGCCTCTTTCTAAAACATCCGTGGCCGCTGAGGATCTGCGAGACTTGATAGTCGGGCACGATCCAGGTGGCCCTGAGACGAGCCCCTACGTCCGGGAAAAAAACTCTAACAAACATCCATCTAAACTTTTGCGTTATAATATTAGTAAGATAACCTGGTACAAATACATTAAAAACGACCTAAACAAGTAAACAAAGCGGCCATTTGCATTCCAAATAGGAAACGCTGTCCGTAGGTATCCGCAATTAGGGATGCGTTGACCTTTGATCAACAGACCTTATTCGACAAATCCTCTTCCGAAAGGGACTAAAATTTATCAGACATGCTCACAAGAAACGCAGAATGACTTCTAGTATTGCACCAGTATTGGCATATTTGTGGAACAGATGTTGGATACCGTTGTCTACCGTTTTTAATGTTGAATTTGATGTCTTCCCAGCGGGTGTGAAGATCCCCGACGAGAATTTAACGCCGCAGCAGCGCGCGCACCGCGAGGAGCAGCTCGCCACCATCCGCAAGATGCAGCAGATGCTGTTCCCCGAGAGCGGCGGCGCGGCGCCCGGCCCTGGAGACGGCCCCCAGCAGAACAACGACATCAACCCGCCCAACTCCGCCGCCAACATCAACATGCCCTACCCGCCCATGTCGCAAATGGGACCCATGGTCTCCGGACCCAACGGACCCATGGTGTCCATGTCTAACAGCATGAACTCCGGACCCAGTTGTACTATGTCAGGACCTATGGGCCCAAACGGACCAATGGGTCCCGGGCCGATGGGACCCGGAGGCCCAATGGGTCCGAATGGTCCGATGGGTGGACCAATGGGTGGTATGGGCGGACCGGGCGGGATGGGTATGGGTGGACACGGCTCTATGGGGCCTAACGGTATGATGGGACCGAATGGACCAATGATGACGGGTATGGGACCTAATGGTCCTATGGGTCCTATGGGACCGTGTGGGATGAAAGGAATTCGTGGTGCTTGTGGTGGGCCCGATATGAAATCGGGAATGTGTACAGAAATGCATATGGGTAGAGGTTGCGGAGGTCCTATGGGAGTAAGTATTGTCATTATTATAAAAGTTTATATTTTTTATCGCTAATCTAAGAGTACAAAAAAATGTAAAAAAAATGTATATTTTGACCTTAAGTTGACAATTTCTTCATACAATGTATATTTTTAGCGTATGCCCAACCCAATGGGCGGCATGGGAGGGCCTAAACCCTGTATGATGGGCGGACCTCACATGGGACCTCGGATGATGCCTGGACCAAATATGAATGCAATGAATGGTACGAGTTAATACACTTTTTATACAATTTAAAACACTATATTTTTACATGTGTAGACGATTTACAATGATTTTTATATCTGTAATTATGTTTAGGTGGTATAATGATGGACGGCAGCATGCTGGGCGGCATGGTGCACGACTGCGGGCCCGACCACCACATGCCCGTCAATGGGCCCATGTGCGACGAGTACGGCCGCGGACGTAATGTACGTATACGTGACGTACGCATCTGTGACGTCATAAGGCAATAAAGTTAACATTCATGCCACTACGATTTTGTAAAATGAAATTGTCATGGCTGTGAAAGGGTTAGAATATTTCTGATGCAAAATTATGATAAATCTGTGGTATATTGGTGTGTGTATGAATAACTAGTTTTCGCTCTCGATTCCGTCCGCGTTTAATTAAAAAACAACAAAAGTAGGTAGTCTGTGTTCTTCCAGACTATGCTCTACATCTGTGCCAAATTTCATCGAGATCCGTTAAGCAGTTTAGGCTACAAAAGTAAGATAAGTGATTTTTCATGTTAGTGATGTTTTTAACACTACACTACACACAGGGTTTGCTTGTAATCCGTCGGATGTGATAGGATAGTATATAATATAATGGTATATGTATTCCAGATGGGTCCGGGCGACCCCGGCGGGCTGGGCCCGGGGCACAAGGGCGGGCTGCGGAGCCCTAAGAGCCCCTCCGCCGGCGCAGACATCGACTGGCAAAAGTTACACCATCAGTTCTTTGACGACCCCAAATCTATGGATACGGAACTCAGTGAGTTATCTAGTAATATATTTTAATTTGCTAAAAATTAGCGGATTTTGAACTACAAAATTCTACGACGCCCTCTTTTCTACCATGCTGTAGGGCAGAGGTGGTGAACATTTTTACATCGAAATGCCACTTTTTTTTAAAAGAATAGTTTAATGAGATCTTAACCGTGCCATCATATAATTTTGACTGCAATTATTACGTCAATTCTATGGTGCACTTACTTCATTCTTTTTTGTCGACGTCCTAAAAATATTTTGTGTGCCATTTATGGCATGCGTGTCAGTGGTTCGCCACCCCTGCTTTAGGGGGAGAGAATTAACAGACATATGTAAAAACTACTAACAGCAAAGTCAACAAACCACTCAATAAGTTGACTTTGCCGCCCATTAATGTTTAGCGCCCTGGGCGGTTGCCCTCCCACGCTGGTATAGCTATTCTATAATATTAACAAATATTGTTACAGGTACACAAGTTAAATCGCCATGTTCAGAAAGAGGGGGATGTTTACCTCCCCCTCCTTACGGCGCATCCCCACTACATCGCTCGGCGTCGGTGCCTATTGGTGAGTTATACTGATTTTACAACTATGTGTCTCTGTCAATGATTCTGATCCATCGCAATATGTCGGTCAACAATATTTGCCTTTTTAAAGCACACCTTTGACTTAACTATCGCACAACTGTTGTGGAATTGTCGATTGTTTCGTAGCCCAACTGTTTAGTTGCACAACTAAATGTCGAGTAGTGTGCGCTCTATATAAGCTCATAGAAATGAACGCAAAACTAAACAGTTCTGCGATAGTTTAATCATGTGTGTGCGCTCTTATTATTCAGTTGTGAGCAGTCAAAGTTTCCTCCAACAATGCTTTGTATTATTAGTTAGTTTTTTTACACGTTTAGCGACAGCTTCGCCTTCACACGGCTCTGTGCAAATGCCGATGTCAGCGGAGGCGTCGCGCGCCGGCTCCGGACTCAACAGCCCCGCGCACTGCAAGCCAGGACATAAACAGGACGCACCAGGTACACACATACAAACACATACAAACACGTCCATACACGTATATATATATATGTAGGTCCATACCTGACGGTGCTATAAAGCATTTTTCCTCTATAAAAATACATATATATGGCGTCATGTTACAACGTACGTAATGCGTACAAGCCGCACTCGCGTACCAACTTTGTACAGTCATGGAAATCTGCGCTGTTCAACTTTAAGAAAAATTATCTTGTTTATCGAAACGAGATAGACTTAATTGTCTTTTAAAAATAGCCAAATAATAAAATATGCTTTTTTTTAAATTCTACGGCCTGTTCGTCTTAAAATGTTCAAAAAATGGTATCTTTTAAGTTTGATCACCACTGGATTCCCTGATTGTACATTACTGTGACATTTTTCTTTGATTTTAAATTTAAATATTTTTGTTTTCTAATAATACAGTACTATCAAAAATTGGAACATTATTAGATTTAATGGATTTATATAGAAATCAATAGTTATAAGCAAAAATGTAAAGGGATGTACTGTAAGGTTGTATTATTTATAGCATGAAGATGTACTAACTGGATAACTTAGGTATCTAAAAATCAAGTTAACAAGAAAATTCGATAGCCATAGATGTAAGGGTGCATGAAATCTACCTGTGTTAGACATTTTCCCAACCACAAAAGAGTTTTTTTTTTTTTGGCACTTTACATCCGAAATTTTTTTGAGTTTTTTTTGTTGTCTGTAGTTGTAATGCATATTTTTTGTTTTCCCCCCCTTCCCCCCCGCAAATCGCTTGACGCTTGAAATCCCACCGTGTGACGAAACTAAACCAAAATACGGGATACGATAACCATTATAAATGGACCCCCGGATGCGAAATGTTGCCACAACAAAGAGTTGCTGGAGAAACTGGACGCGGGCGTGTTTGTGCGGTCGCTGCAATGTCTCGCGGAGAGACAACAGAAGCACGCGCACGGCAAGGAGCCTAGCCTGATGCCGGTGCCCTCCCCGCAACAAATATCATATCTCAATCAGTTCGAAGGTAAAACGACAGACTGACAATGTTACCAACCTGTCAGAAGTTCACATTCTCCTATTATTTGTACCAACCTAAACTTCGATAGCAAAAATATAACAGGTTGTAGGCTGTAGGTTGGCTACCCACTTTTCTATGTTTTTTCGCAGACGAAGTTGTAGACGAAAACCTGGTGTAATATAAGTATCATAAAATATGTTTCCAAAATGTCAGTATGGTTAGATTCTGCCATAATTCACAATTGACCCGTGACAATCATTCTTGTTACAAGTTACGTGTTACGAACCTACAATTGTTTTTTATTTACTGTTATAATCTGTCTATTTTTGTATTTGTGGAAAAAAAAATAGGAAAATGTGAACTTGAAATGAATAAGCAGAATGTTTGATTAGCTTATTCTACGAAAAAGCTTATTGTTTTGTATTAATTTGTGCTTTATGTTACATGTAATAGAATACATTTTGGCTTGTGTAGTTGCCAGTGCATTGAAATAGTTAAGCGTTGTTTCCACATGTGTTTTCTATACATTCTTTTTGGTGGTGGTTGGTGAAAATGTGCTAACATACTTTCATACTCTATGGCTAATTTGTAATACAATATTGTGTCTTAGAGCGGACATACCTTTGACTAAAGTGTCGCACAACTGTTGTGCGATTGTCGTTTGTTTCGCAGTTCATTCAACTGTTTAGTTGTACAACTAAAAATCGAGTAGTGTGCGCACCTCCAAGCTCAAAAGAATCAACGCGAGATTAAACAGTTGTGCGATATTTTAGTCCAATGTGTGTGTGTCTTAGTGTATACAGCTACATGTGATTGTAATACACTTTTATATAAATATTTTATCAGGTCAAGAATTAACGATACAAAAACAACCGAACACATCGTTAAAGGACAACGGTCCGCCGTCAAACAGCGGCGGACAGACGCCACAGTCTAGTTCTAATCAGAAATCACCAGCAGGGTAAGTTTTTTCTATAGATATTTCTCAATCAAATAAATCTAAACTGTAATAGATTCTCTCTTGCTAAAGAGAACCCTATTAGTATAGATTTCTATAGAAATTTTTATCAATGGTCTGTTTAAATGGGGTGAACACTAGAACTAAAAAAAAATCATATATGATTAAAGTAATGTTTAATTTCACTTTGCATGTTTTTTCATATTAAAAATAAGCAAAAATGTGAAAGGTAAAATTAGACTTAATTTTATTCCCATGAAGCTCAATTTTCTTTGCGTTAAAAATCTGTTCTTTTCTACTCTCCAATCTTTGTGACCATATCCTTACATAGTAAATAAATGTTTATTATAGGTTAATTGTTTTACATTTATTTTGTTAGCTTACTCTATTTATCTTTACTAATATAAAGAGTAAACTTTTGTATTTTTGTATGTATTGAATAACTCAAAAACTACTGGACCGATTTCGTTAATTCTTTCATCATTCAAAAGCTACGTTATCAATGAGTAACATAGGCTATATTTTATTAATTGCACGCAGACGAAGTCGCGAGCAACATCTAGTAAAGATTTTGAAATATAACATGTTTTTTTAACAGCATGATGCCGGGCACGCCGGAGCCGCACTCGTCGCTGTCGGAGCAGAGGTCGGGTCGCTTCTCCCTCGAGCAGAGTCCCAGCTTCAACAACCCGCAGACACCCACCTCTGGAGCTAATACTAAATGCGGAGGTACGTCCTACGCACTATTTAATCAATAAAAATAACTATATGTATTTACAACTATCGGCATCATCATCACTATACGTCCCCACTAACATCTAAATGTCAATTCTTACTAATATTATGAATGCGAAAGTTTAGATGGAGGGATGGATGTTTGTTCCTACGTATCTCCAGAATAGCTTATTGGATCTCCATGAAATGAAACATAGTCTGAAAAAATATGCAGAAGTTTTGATTATCATACTCCAGAAGAATTTAAAATATATATTTTAATTCTTTCTCTTTCTTCGTTTCAGATGAGAAATCGCGACCAAGTCCGTCATCAAACCGGTCGAGTCAGGACAACGCGTCGAAGACGCCGCAGCGCGAGTCCGGTCTGAACCAGGGCCCGTACGCGCCCGCCTCCTCCGCTGCCTGCGTCAGCGCCAAGAGCAGCTGCAGCGTCACCACCGCGCCCAGCGGCAACATGGACGACACCATGGCCGGCAACAACGAGGTATATCACTCTACTATAATAAAACGTACACACATCTCTTTGTTATGTAGGATATCGGTAATCATGTTTTTGATAATTCTTTTTAAAAAAACCTGTCCATATCGCTTTAAATTCGAAATTGTAAAAAATGATACCCGAAAAAGCCAGTAGCAACAAATTATTATTTACATTTGCAAAGGCCTTTGTTGCAATTGTACATTGCAATTGTAAATTTTACAGAATGTAAACAATGCAATAAACATTTTACAATGTCATGCGGATAGCCCCACGGGAACAGATAGTCTCTGAACAAAGTTGGTCCTCTAAAAGCAGGATAAAAAAGAGTTAACAAGGATATATATAAGGATAAGGGTCACATTATGGCTGTAAGAATAATTTCAAATTGTTTTTTTTTTATGCAGACGACATTATCAGGAGGTCCAAACAGCACGAGTCTACCGGGTCCATTCCCGGGGCCGTGCAGCATGAACAGGCCAGACAATATCCCCATCAATCCTAACCAAGGCCCGAATGGCCCCATGGGCACTTCCACGTCTTCCTTCGACCCGATATCCTCGCTGGCCCAGATGTCGCAGCAGCTCACCAACACGGTAGGTGGCGGCGGGCCCGGCCC